AACGCGGCCGGCCCCCAGGTGCCGCGGCCCACCGGGAAATTTCCCGGTATCCCGGTGGGCCAGTCCGGACCTGCATGTATCTGTAATGTTCTGGTCAGGTACTGAAATTTTGGCAGTATCATCATCTTCACAGCTGTCATTCTCCCCACCCATGACATGAATTTATCATCCCACTTCTTCAGAGTATCCCTGATTTCCCCTAGTAGATTCCCATAGTGGAGGCCTAAGAGCCTCCTTGGGTCCTTTGGGATTTTCAGTCCTAAGAATGTGAGGTGGTCCCCCTCCAGTCCAGTGGGATCGATCTTTGCAGCCTTTCTATTGTGTGTTTTGGTACCCCTACCCCCATCGCCTGGGTTTTTGTGACGTTGAGCTTGTAGTACGATTGCTCTCCGTACGTTTGTATTTCCTTTAAGAGATTTGGTAATGATATCTGTGGTTGTGTGAGTGTGAGTAATATGTCATCTGCAAATAGGTTTGCTTTATGTTCTTTTTCTCCCACTTGTATGCCATGTATGGATCCATTTGCTCTTACTCTAACCGCCAGTGGCTCCAGCGCCAGGACGTAGAGCAGGGGGGATAGGGAGTATCCTTGCCACATTCTGTTTGTGAGCCAAAACGGCTCGGACAGGAATCCAGAGTTCATGACCCTCGCTGAGGGCGCGCTGTACAGCGCTTCCACTATGGACACAAACCCCGGGGGGATGTCAAATCTGACCAGCACTTCCCTTAGGAGACCCCAGTGTAGGCGGTCGAAAGCCTTTTCTGCGTCTAGGGAAACAAATAGGCCCTCTAGCTTTCGATGTTTCAGGTGGTAAAGGAGATTGATGACTTTCCTAGTGTTGTCCGATCCCTGTCTTCCCTTTACGAATCCCACCTGGTCGTTGTGTATGATGTGGGGCAGTATAGTTCCTAGTCTGTTTGCATATAATTTAGCGAAGAGTTTTGCGTCAGTGTTTAAAAGGGAAATGGGCCGGAAATTTTGTGGTGTGGTGGGTGGTTTATTAGGCTTCGGTAGTGTGACAATGTGCGCTGCTAGTGTTTCTTTAGGAAGCTCCCCTTTTTGTGCCGCTTCCCTGAACATCCTGGCTAGATACGGAACCAGAGTCGTGTTACATTTCTTATAATAGTGGTTATCAAACCTGTCTGGCCCTGGCAATTTCCCCATTGGGAGGTCTCCGATTAAGTCCCTCAGTTCCTGGTCGTCTATTGATTTTATTAGATCCCTCTGTTGTTGGGGTGTGATCTTAGGGAGCCCTACTCCATCTAGGTAATTCCCTATACTGAGAGCTGTTGGTTGTTTGGTTTGTTCGTCTTCTTTTATGTTGTATAGGGACGCATAGTATGCAGCGTACACATCGCTATTGCCTTTGGGGGTGGATATTTTGGTTCCCTTTTGGTCTATGAGTGGGGATATTTTCTGGTTCGTCTGCCTGGCTTTCAGCCTCTGCGCTAGCAGTTTGCCCGCTTTATTTCCCTGTACGTAATGGTTGAGTTTAAGCCTCTGCATGTTCGTGCTAAGTTTATCTAGTGCTTGTTGGTGCATGAGTTTCATGATCTGCGCTATTTTGGTTTTCGTTTCAGCGTTGGAGTGGCTTGGTTGAGCCTGTTGAGCTCATATAGTTCTACCTGCCACGCCCTAAGCTTGATTGTGTCATCTTTTTTATATATGTAGCTCTGCGTATCAGGAGGCCTCTTGCCACCGTTTTATGTGCTAGCCATAGCGTCGTGTCCGAGGTGTCCCCTGAGTCATTGGTTATAAAATAGGATTGTATGTCTCTCGTCAGGGTCTCTGAAAAGTCCCTGTCCCTCAGCAGTGAACTATTTATTCTCCACGGGCTACGGTGTTTGAAATCATACATGTTTTTTAGTCCTACCGTTACTGGAGCGTGGTCAGACCATGTAATTTGGTGGATGTCGCATTGAGTGATTTGGTCTAGTGCAGATCCCTTTATGAGAAATCCGTCTATTTTAGAATAAGAGTTGTGGACTGCTGAATAATGTGTATATTCCCTTTCTGTGGGGTGGTTAATTCTCCACGTGTCATACATATGGTTGTCATCTAAGAGTTTCGCCATAGCCCTGCATTGTCTCTTTAGGGGTCTGTCGTGTTTCCTTTGTGGGGGTAGGGTAGTGTCCAGTGTCGGATCCCCCTATCACCCTGATGCCTGTGTGGATATCAGCTATTTTGTTTAAAACTTTGTGTAAGAAATTCCTTTGATTAGTATTTGGGGAGTATATATTTGCGATAGTATATGGCATGTCAGTATTACGTATCTCCCATTTGGATCCACGTCTTGGGAGTGTATCGAGACTGACACATTTTTGCTTATTAAGATAGATGCGCCTCTAGATTTGACAGGGGAGGTCGCATGAAATTGATAGGGGAAGTCGGTAGTCAGTATTGCCGGGTGGTCATTGTGTCTAAAATGGGTTTCCTGTAAGCAGAGTATATCCACCCCTAGTTCTTTTACTTCTCTAGTGAGTAGGTGCCTTTTCACTGGTGCGTTAAGGCCCCTGACATTGTAGGAACATAACTTTACGGTGGCTTATAGTATATACTCTCACCATATCTCCTGTTACTGTCTTGGATATTGAGGGCCGCTGCTCTCCTCAGCTTGTACGAGCCGAGCTGCGGATCCCTCCCTGAGTGTCTAGAGTTCCCCTCAGGATCAGCGGAACAGGGAGTGTTGTGTCCACATCCATGTGATGTAGTCTTTTTTACCTTTGCTGGAGTCAGGTCACCCACTAACCTCACCCCATCTTCGATAGTGTAATACATTTTGAGCAAAACATAAACATTGCATAGGTCAACATAAAACATAACAAAAGGAACATAAACATAGGTATTTACAAGAATGTTCAGTAGAACCGTTAGTGCCGTCGTAGCGGCTAGGCACTGCATTGTCGTGCCTCGGGGGTTGAGGCTGAGGACCTCAAGTCCTGCGGGAACCAACACCCTCTGCGGCTATATTTAGTGTCTACAATGGGGTGGCCCACATCTTAGGTGTAGTCCTTTGCGTCCAGGATATTTCGACATTCGATTTTTATTATTTATTTATTTTTTTGTGAAGAGATATCATTGCTCACAGCCAGGAGGCTGTGCGGTTAATTCTCCAGCCTTACTCCTATCTATCTAAGGGGGCGCCCTGGGTGGTTAGTAATTTATCAAATTTGGGTAATTGGACTAGGGAATATATCGCCCCATTCTCTCAGTGTGACTAGATATAAGTGTTTCCCTATCTATGCTCATGCATATTCGTGAGCACTTGTGTTGCTTTGTGACTGTGTAGTTTCCAGTACATTACCCAGACCCATTGATGTCAGTCCATCTCAGTTCATTGTCTCGGGGCCCTTTCGCTCAAGGATCTCTCCCTCTATCTGCGTTTCATCTTTTTCCATTCCGGTGAGGTCCTGGCTCTGTTCCTTTCTGCTTCCATTTGTGATGTGGGTGCGATGTTCCAGGATCTGAGCACTCTTTGTCCTTCCTCTGGGGACCCGATGGCCGTGGTTTTCCCATCTCTCGTCACCAAGAGTTTGGTGGGGTATCCCCATCTGTAAGGGAGGCGGCGTTCTCTGAGTTTCGTTGTGATTTCTCTAAAGTCCCGTCTTCTCTTCAAGGTATATGAGGAGATGTCGGCATATATATTCACCCCTCTATATGCTTCGGGCATTTCCTTCTTTTTCCTGTTTGCATTAAGTATTGCTTCTTTGGCGTGAAAATAGTGCATCCTAAGCAGTATGTCCCTTGGAGTGTCTAGGGGTAGGAATTTTGGCTTAGCGGTTCTATGGATCCTATCTAGCAGTAGCAAGTCCTGCGGGAGGTCCGG